TTTAGAGGTGAGGGACAGAAAAACAGAGGACGGAAGGAGGGGACCAAATCCCATCTGCTACCTATCTACATGCCTGCCTACAGGTCCTTCTTTTTTTTTTTTTTTTGAAAAATTTTTTTATTTATTTATGATAGGCACACAGTGAGAGAGAGAGAGAGAGAGAGAGGCAGAGACACAGGCAGAGGGAGAAGCAGGCTCCATGCACCGGGAGCCCGACGTGGGATTCGATCCCGGGTCCCCAGGATCGCGCCCTGGGCCAAAGGCAGGCACCAAACCGCTGCGCCACCCAGGGATCCCAGGTCCTTCTGTCTGCCTTTTGACCTTTCACTCACCTTGATCAACAGAACGGTTGTCTGGATACCAATGAGAAGGACTTTTTCAGTGTAATAATAATTCCTAATGTTGAGAGAACAATTCTTCCAAAACTGCAAGCAGAGATATGACACTAAGATGTCGCCAACAGATCTTGTTACCAAAAGCAAAACCAATGAAACAACATCTGTCTCTTCTAGAGCATTCAATTCCCAATTCAATTCCATTTACTCCATCCTTAGAGTGGCGGACCCGCAGGGCACTTTTCATCTAATAGTGTTTCTATGGAAACGCCATTCTCAACCTGGAAGATTCTACAACCCTCACTTTGGCTTTATCCACGTTGAGAGGAACGTCTTATAAATCAGAAATTGAGACATAAATTTCGCCACAGACAAACAAGGATTTTTCAAGGCTACAAGTTCACAAATAAGAAACAAACAAAACAAAACCAAAGAGTCAAAAAAATGTGTATCCAGACATAGAAACAAAGTGTCTCTATTAAGCATCCAATGAGATCCGAAAAATCAGTGAAAGGAATCCAAGAGAATGTGAATGAAAAACCAATTCACCTTGAGGATCACCTCCCCTTACTGGTCAAATACCAGATGTGTCGCCCCTCGCATGGTTTCTTCACCTGACGCCGCAGGTGTGTATTTGAACAGCCTGCATTCTTTCTAACTTTCAAGATTCCTGGGACACACAGCAGCTCGATGCCGGAAAACATGTCACTGCATATTTTAAATAAGAACCATATTAACCGCTTTTCTATTTAGATTATATTTAAATCTGCAATATGCAAGAGGGCATAAATCCAATAGGGTAAGGGGGAAAAAAACAAAACAGAAAACCCTTGATTTTTTTTTTTTTACCTGAAACGTTGTATTTCTCCCTCTTTCTCATTTTCGCTAGGCCCTTAGGCACATATCGTTGTAACACCATATAGCAAAATAACTGGCAATATGTAAAACACATCCAGTTTAAACACTATGACATAGTAGGTTGTAGTTAGAGTTGGAATAACACCTTTAAGAAGGAAAAAGAAACCTTCATGGAGCGCATATGCCCCTGAACTGACTGACTATACAGTGACTCATACTCAGATATTAAGTATTTCTTAATTGTTTGCAATAATTTGTCTTCAGGCAAATGCAAGCACTTTATTAATAAATGCTTTTGTTTTCTTTCAAATTCTCTCTTATTATCTAAATAATGTCAGTCACCCTTTGCGATTCCAGGGAAGAGTTTCTTTTAAGAGACCTGCTCCTAGTTATCAAAACTGGCAAATGCTCAACTAAGACTGAGGTGGAGATTTACATCACTGAAATCTCCTTTTACCCCCAAATCACCAAAGTTTAAAATCTGTTTCCTTTTCTTCTTTTATTATTTTCATCGTATACAAGTATTTCCAGTTTAGCTCACTGTGAGTCACAGAATGAAGGTTTAGTTCTCTCCTTGGAGTAGTAAAATGTGCTACCGATTAAATCTACCTGTGGACAGCTACAGAAACAGCACATTTTTCTTATGCAGCTGGGGTGCAAATCCAGGAAGGTTTTTTTTTTTGTGTGTGTGTGTGTGTTTTGTTTTGTTTTGTTTTCAGGGCCCATTCTACTCCCCTGACACACAAATGCTTGAAAGCCCTTTCAAAGACAGGTTTTTGTTGTTGTTGCTGTTTTTAACTGAATAAACCCAATGTAAAGATTGACCCATTTATTTGAAAAATAAAAGAAAGTAGGAATTTGCTTTCAAAAAAAAAAGTATGTGAGGTTTTATAATATGCTTTTTGGCAGTTAAAAGATTAGTTTTTACAGCTTGCTAATAAATTGTTATTGCTATTATGTTAATTAGTCAGAGTTTCGAATGCTCTTTCGTATCCTGCAAGATTTCAGACAGGATTTCTCCAGATTAAGTTACATTAATCATATAAGCAAGAATGTGATCATTTAAAATTTGTAGCATCTTCCAAATGAATCGTGCAATCCCCCAGAACCCTCAGAACTTGACATACAGTTGCTAAAAGATTAGTGCGGAGATATCACTACTTAATCACATTTGAACAAATAACAAAACTCTCCTTAAACTCTAGAGGCCTTTCCCATAGAATTCATTATGACCGGCTCCTGACTATGAACGATTACCTAAGCGGTTTGTGCATTCCTTCAAGAGGTGTAACAAGACAACTGACAACTGGACGTCTAGCTGGTTTTGCAATTAGAGAAGAGGGTAGGGCATCGTTTTCATTGGGGGAAGGAAAGAGGGAGGAAATTTAAATGTATCTCCTTTGCTTTTTAGATGATACTGTGAGACATTCGGTTTTTTTAGAGGTGGTTACCGTTACCGATATTTTTGTACGAGCACATGGCAGCGGAGTGGGGAAGCAGGTGGGCATGTCCGATGCAGGCCACTAGGCGATTTCTGCAAACATGCACAGAAAGCCAGGGAGGTGTGGACAAATGGGTTTCCCCTTCCAGGGCAGGGGAAAAGGCCAGCACAGACCCCAAAACTGAAAGACGTTAGCCAGACCTCAAGAAATCAGGCAGTTTATGAATAATTTCCAATCTAATTGCCCGAATAACAGATGGACCACAAAAAGCATCGCAATGCAGGTAAGATCTTGCTGGTGGCTACAGAAGTTTTTTTGTGTTGTTTCGTTTTGTTTTAAGAAGATAATATAGCTCTCTCTACAAGGTTCTTCCCAAGGGTATGACCTAGAAAACCAGGAAACCTGGTGGATGAATAAAAGAACTTGCTTCTCTCCCTCCTGATTCTGTCTGAACTAATATTTGATTATATTTTATTCAGGGGCATCTCAGCCTCAAGCTCCTTTGCAGATTGAGATGGAGGCTGATGAAATCCATTCTTTTTTTTTTTTTTTCCCGTTAGTACTGGCAAGAGACTTTGGTCGTAACCTCAGGGGCCACCTGATTTTGTCCCCTCCCTCCCCCAGGCTCCAGATCTGGTTGGCTGGTTGGCCCCAGTGACGAAACATCAGCACAGCTGCATCAGCACCGTTCACCAACTGCCTCTGCCTATCTCCCACTACGTTTTCCTCCTGCCGTGCCCTCCATGCCCTCCGTGCCCTCCAGACCCTGGCCCTTCCCATCCCCCTCAGTCATGGTCCATAACCCTCAGGGGCAAACTTGCACCAGGCACATCTCGGACTATCCGCGTACAGGTAACAGGCGTCAGGTAAGTAACGGCACCCGGGTGGGGTTTGGGGTAAACCTCATATGCTGCTAAAATCAGCCACACGATCTAAAGCTCCAACTAACTACCAGCCCTAGGCCAACCTCCAAAGCTGCTTCCCAAATGGTCAGGGTAGTCTAGTTGCTGTTTGGAATCATGGTGACTGGGGCAGAGGGAGGAAAGTATTTTACTTATTTATTTTTTATATATTTTTTTAGTTATCCTTGCCGGAAAGTCTGGATTAATTTACACCCTCAAGTGTTCCTGGAGGCAGAGCCTCCATCCAGAGGAGCAGAACCAGCGTGGTGGCCTTTGACAGCCCCTCGTGTCTCCCTGACACAGTGCAAGCTAAAGGCCAGCGCTCTGAAGGCAGGCAAAGGTGGGGAGGGTCAACTGACCTGGCCACAGGGGTGACAACGCAGAATTAACCTTGATATTTAAACATAAATGACGTTAAGGAAAGCAAACTATGCTTAAAAAAAAAAAAAGTAACATAAAGAGTTTGCTTCTGACGTTTCTCAAAAAGCCAAGACTTTTAGCATTCGCTCACTTGAGGCTACCAGGCGGGGGCTAGGCGATGACCTATTTTAAACTCAACCTCTGTCCCTAATATAGTGAGAAGTCCCCCGTGGCGACAACGTTGCTGATTTTTAAAATATTATTTTATCCATAAATTTTCATTCCGTCTTCTTCCTCGGATGTCATTAAGTCGGTATGCACTTACAAAAATATCCACCAAAATATTATGATTATAAATATTTTGAACATGAAATTCATTCAGAACAATAACCAAACAAAACAAATCCCTCGGTGGCATAAAGCCCCAAATCTCCAGTTTCTCACATCTCCAGGAGAATTCCTGCAGTGAAAACAGCAATACTCACACAGACAATATAAACTGTTACTCTGCTTGAAAAGTCACAAGGGACTACACAGGAAGAGTTGACTCTATATTGCTGTTTCCCTTTACAGTTCTAAGCACAGGGACAACTTTCACTGTGCAGCTCGGGCTCGGATGAATGTCTCGTAATGGCAACCAGTGCATGCAAACCACTTCAGAGCAATTTATGTGAGCATCTTGCCATTGCAACAAGATTTAAGCTTTTTGGGACCGTGCGCTAGGAAGGTCCGCTACAGCGTTAGGAGAAAGGAAGTCCTTCTCTCCGGGGTCTATCTTACTTTCTTCTTAGTAGGACTTGGTTCTAGGGACCCAAGAGTCACACTGAGAAAAGCAACATCATTAACATACATACTTAAAATCACAACTCCTACACCTTATAACTTACAGTTAACAAAATTGCAATAGTGAACTTCAAATAACACTCCTCGTTTGGGGTAAGAATCTAGGAAATAAGGGCTAACACTTCTGTAAAAACTAGGGGGACACAGTGATTTATGAAATATTCCAAGTGCAGAGGGATCATTTTCCCCCATTTTTTTTTCTATCACAACGGGTTCATCGTCCATATTTAGTTTACATATGTCATTTAGAATCCACTTACTGTTAGATGCTGGAACAGCCACGCCCTCATGATATTTGTGGCTACTTTGGGAAAGATGCCACGCTTTTTGTGACGCTTTTTGTCCTTATCTGGATCATCATCGTCACCTGTGCTGGGGGAAGCTACACTGTTGTCCAAGCCATCACCTGCAAACATAGTGAATCAAATTTTGACTGATGCTACCTTGACATGCTTTATGCAAATAGAATGCCTTTGGATATAAACAAAACCAAAAGAGCAATATAAATGATTAATAGTTTATTTGGTACTGTTTTTATTAGTTGTTTTTTTTTTCTTTTTTTCCAAGACAAAGAGAAAGAACAAGGCCTAGGCTCAAAAGTAGTCAGGTCTAAGGAACTTCTTCTAAAGGACAGTGGGAAAGGTCAAAGGGAATGAGGGGAAATGGCCAATCTCTTTAGTAGCTTCGTTGCCATCGTAATTATTCAGAGGGGTACAGCTGAGACGAGTTAAGTGTAACTGGGGAGTCCGATATGGTGGTGGCCGTGGGCAGACGTGCCGTCCCTGCCTGGGTATTCAAACCCCACATACAGTCGCTGATGTCAACTTGTGAGAAGATGCATTTAAGATAGCAACTATTTCCACAAGTGATCTATCTAAGACTGTAAAGTAGGCCATGGAAATGTAAGTAATCCATCATCGAAGCGCTTTGACATAGGGATGCTTCAAATAGAACATAATTTTTCTTGTCATAGAAAGAGAGCATCAAGTTTAGTAAGGGCAAAACTCCCTGAAATAGTTTTTTCTTTTTTTTTTTTAATTAGGAAACAATTACTATGTAAGTCACTAAAGTGATGTTAAATTAATAGTCCGTTGAATTGGATTACCCTACAAATCCAGGCAATTTCTAAGATTTCTTCCAGATTCAAATTTTGCTCATTGAAAAGTCACCTGTTTACAAACTCCTGAATATCGTGGGTCCCATTCTTCCATTGCTCTCTGTTCTAACGTTTATGTTGTGTCCTCTAGAAAATACTCTGGCGCTGTGACACGATAAAACACAAAAATGCAGCATGCCTTTCACAGCGCCGTGCGTGGTAAGACAGAAAAATGACGTTTCAGCCCATGGAAGCACACACTGCCTCGCGCAAGTCGCGAGGTACAAATGGGAACTGATACCTCGTGTTTTGGCACAAAAGTTCAAAAGGAAGACGAGGCTGGGGCTGGGCAGCTTGGTTCCTGCCAAGTGGGCCTCCCGACCCGCCACCTGCGGGCCACCCTGGCTCTCGGGGGAAGCCACCGACTTCCAGGGCGGGACAGGGCCCCGCGGCCCAGGAAGAAGGCTTGGCGGTGAGGCAGCCCGCACACCTGGGGGCACGCGGGCACGCGGCTGCACGCACACCTGGGGGCACATGGCCTGCACGCACACCTGGGGGCATGCGGCCTGCACGCACACCTGAGGACACGTGGGCATGAGGCCTGCACGCACACCTGGGGGCACGCGGCCGGCCTGAGTATGCTACTGGAGGGCCGTCTACGCAGCCAAGGAGTCGGGTACTCGGATGAGACCCGTCTCCCGGCCGCCGCGCGTTGGCACTGGCCTCAGGTTCGGTTACCTGGCTTCCTCGGATCCCTTATTCCCTGTTCCTTATTTCTGTCACCCAAAGACACTAGGTACAGTGTACTACTTTGATCTCAGTGATTCTGGTCTAATCTACGGTAATTAGGTCACCATTAATCAATTGTTCTTACCAGCTCTCTCAGGAGTCCCTTGCCGAGCCCCCCACCTCACCCCCCAAAAAAGGAAATTGCCCCCAAACGGCCTTAACTTGTACGGTAAAGTTTAGAGACTGGTGGGCGAGGAACAGACTAATTTCGACGTTTCTGCGATGACTGCCACCTATGCCACAGACACGAAACTTTGGCAGAAGTTTTCTGTGATTTTTATTTTAAAAAATCTGTAATTTTATTGTATCTAAAAATCCCTCTGTTTTGTTCAAGTTCCACAGAATCATAGCTGTGTTCTCGGTGGAAAAGATCCTAGAGACACCCCCCCCACCCCAACCCTCCATCCCCCGGACTCCAGAGCCCTCACTTGTATGGGCAGCGAGCCAAGAAAGTGCTTAGGTGACTTGCCCAAGGTCACACGGCAGGTCTGGGGCTGGCAGGCCTGGGCCGGCCCAGACACACCGCATCCCCTAAACTGGTGCTCCTCCCACCCCACCAAACCCGTTATTTGCATAACCAAGTGTTTTAGAAGGAGTCCCCTTGGATTTGCCTAATAAATTCCTTGAAAGTCCAGTATTTAAAGAGGCTTTTTATTCAGAGAAGCAATTCACCATATAAAATAACAATTCATTAAAGAAACATGAGAAAAGAAACCAACTCAACAGCATTTAAAATTTCAATGGGCTAATCCACTTTCAATATGCAAAAGGTAACCGAGGAAAAGAAACATATTACTTGATCATTGATTAAAAATGAAAAGCTTCTAACCTAATGACAGTTTTTCACCACCTCTCCATGATTGTTTTCCACCTTTAAAAAAAAAAAAATAGCCTTTCCATCCGTCTCAAAACCCCTTCAGATTAATTTAGCAGGCGATGCCTAGTGCCTGCCTCGAAGAGAATTCATTGATAATTTATGGAAATATCTACTATAATCCAGCGGAGATGACTTTTTTCCAGCTTTGTGCATCAATAGATAATCAAGGCCTTAAAGCAGCCTTAGCTTCCCATTACCTCAGGCAAAAGAATTCCTGAAAGCGTGCCTTGAGGGCACCTGAATTATATACTCCATTAGGAGAGGAAGGCTTTCTGCATTCCATGTGTAACACTCACCAGAACCTTTCCTGTTTATTTCTGCTGTATGAAAGCAGCAGCATTAGGAACAGAATTTTTTAAGTGAAGACTTATGTAGACACAATGGAGAAACCTTTCAAGCAGGAGCCAGATCACCCCCTTCAGTCCCTGGCAGTGACCTCTCCCGAATAAAAGGTTTCTATTACATCATTAGCTCAAGCCAAAAACAGCCTTGGCTTAATGCACAGTTTGTTCTTCCTACTGTTTTTAGGCAAATACAGCTACTTTACTCCCATCTGGGAGGGAAATTACACTGCTGGGTTGTAATCTAAGACAAGATTTTCATTGGAAGCAAATGCTTTCAATCCAGTGTAAATACTGGTGCATGTTCAGAAAAGCCTAAAACAATAAACCCTGCTCCTTCCCGACACAAGTTAGGGAAATGGAGAAGATGGGGAAGGAGAAGAGCATAATACAACAGACTATTCTAAAAGCAAACACTTTCATAGATTTTCATAAATTGTTTAACCTCTTCCACTTTCTAGAACTGAAAATTGATCTCGAAACGTCTCCACCTCCGAGGAACAGTCTAAATGGTCAATTGTACCTCTAGCATTTCCATTCACTCTGCAATTTGATACAGTCACCTCGATGCGGTCTCTGGAGGATTTATTTCCTTTTTTATTTTATTTTATTTTTTTATTTATTTTTTTTATTTTTAAGATCACTAAACAAACTTGGAGAACCGCCGGCCGACCACATGGCAGCAGGCAGCAGCTCTGAACCACATTTGTAAAATGTCAGCAGTGACTTCATTCCTGGAGCTGACTTCTCCTGCCGCCAAATGAAGGCAAACTGAAAAGGTGGAAATAATCATAAAAATGATGCTAGTCCATAAACAAGCTTACAGCCTCATTAGGATAGCAGTAGGCTCCAGTGGGTGATTTATGCTCGTTTTGCTGATGCTATGAGGAAATGCCATAGGGCGACTTTAGCCAATTGCTAATGGTTTCTGACAGCTTCTTAGCAACTAGTGCAAGCAACGTTGTGGCGTTTGCTAGTGACAGAAACCGAAAATGTCATATTATCTGCCCATGTGTCATGAAGTCCGTGTGGCAATTAACTAGCAGGCCAGTGACTGAGGGGCCAGAGGCTCCCGAAAATGGCCTTTGGCTATGCAGAGGCAGCCGAGGGGCGCAGAGCACCCGCTGCTGCACATATGCAACATTCTAATGCAGCACCCCCTTCCTTGTGACTCCCCGGCTCTGATGAGGCCCGGCCACTCCAATCCCTTTTTTCCTCTCACTCAAGTGAAACTCTGGGCTCTCTCTCTCTCTCTCTCTCTCTCTCTCTCTCTCTCTCTCTCTCTCTCTCGCCACTGGCTCTGGCCTTATGAGAAGCCTCCAAAGCCTCCAATGCTTTGATATGATTATCCCGATGGCTCCTTAATTGGCAATACCTGGTTCTGGGCTCTCTGGACGCTGGATTGTAAGGTGCCAGCCATTTTTCTGCTCTCTCACGAATTAGTCTAAAAGGATTGAAGATCACTGAAGCAGACTCATTGCCTGTCAGGTTGCAGGGAGCAGAGGGACTCGGCGGCAACAAGACACTACGTGAAAAACACCAGGCTTCTAACGAGGTGGGGGGGGGACGGGGATCCTGGCCACACTTTCCAGTTTCCGAGCTATCAAAACCATGCACTATATGTCAAACTGTCAAACCTTTCAGCGTGGGCCATTTGCCCTTTCAAATAATATTTAAGAATTGTTTTTACAAAATTTTATAGGCCATGGTCTAGTGAAAGAGGCCAAGCAACAAAGAAAGGAATTTGTACTACAATTCGTCTACGGACAATTTCTTGCGAGACCTGGTCTGTCCCTGCGGAGCAAGGCAGGTGACCTGTGGCAGCTCCCAGGCTGTCAGAGAGCTCAGATTTCAAACACGCTCAACTCAAACATCCCGAGTCGCCTATTTAAGCATGCCCAGGCATTTAGACTGTGCTATCTCGTGCCTTTCAAGGCAGGATAAAGCGGCATTTACCGCATTCAGGCCATTCAATGGGTCAGACTGACCGTGTCAGCAGGGGCTCCTCTCTGGCAGGTCAAAGCCCTGCTCCCATTTTTCTCTTCCTCCTAACTCCCTCTCTCCGCGCACCCCCCCCTCCAACCTCCAGGATTGCCCATCCCCTAAACCTATTCTGAGCCAGGCCAGAACAAAACCCCCCGAAGTGCCCAAGATTCACCATCACAACCCAGAGGGCCCTCCAGCGTCGGCCGGCCAGCAGGTGTACGTAAAACGGGTTGGGTTGGCTGTCAGAGGGCTCTTTCCGTCGTTGAGGCAAGACTCCTAATTAGGGATATGAACTTTCAACCGCCGGGGCAGAGGAA